ATTCCACAGATCCACTGACGGGCAGGAAAACCCGACTGCAAACTGCTGACATCAGCGACGGAGCCATTCTTACTGTGGGCTGAGTGTCTGTGAGGCCGTGCCCAGACTGTCTGAGACGCCCAGTCAACAAGTGTCCGAGCCAAGAGCCCAGACCCCAGCGACACATGATGGACGTCAATATTCCTGGGTACAGACTTAGACTGGAACAGTGTCGATAAGCAGTCACAGACTAAAAATATGCACGTGTGTTAGTTTCACGCCCATATTGTTACGCTTGTCTTGTGACTTCACTAAAGCATCACACTTGTATTAAAGATGCATTATCAGATTTTTACAGTCACTTAGTGGCAGCATAACCGCCTATGTGAGCACAACACTGATCATCCCCTGCACACAAACTCAGACATTTATGTGCAATTTAACTCTACTCTGTATTTGGTAATTGTTCTTAATTCATTTTTTCCTGCCACAGACTGTGGGTAAGAAAACACTCAAAGACACTAAAACACATCACCTTTTAAAATGCAATCAGATCACAAATGGACAGCAATAAAAGCTTGTGCGAAGTACCACAGCGGGCAGCTTGGAGGTGTGTGACAATAACAGGTGTGGACAATGACGCGCTCCACTTGTGTCCAGATCACTGAAACGCATTTTAAAAGGACGCATTAACAGGTCACAGACTCCACTTAATCACAGCTTTGTGCGCCACGATGTCAAGTGTTCTCTTTAATGCACTCCGAGAGAACATTATCACAGCGCTGACCAGCCACTTCATTAGGTACACCTATTCATCTGCATGTTAACACTGCAGAAAATGATGTTAATACGTATCACTAGAAACAATAAGAGATGCCTGTTAATCTGTTAAACTAAACCTTTTGAAAAGAGATCATTTTGGTTTTGGGACTGACTCAAACATACGCTCACTGGCCACTTCATTAGGTATACCTGGTGTAGTCCATCTTATTGCAAATGTCTAATCGGCTAATCACAGTGCTTATAGTCATGTAGATATCATTCAGATAACCTTCTGAAGTTCGAACTGAGGCTACCTGAGTATTGTTGCTGACCATGTCTGTCCACTGTGTCACAAATCATCTCCAACTATCTTGTACATGACGGTACAAATGGCCTCCACAGTCAACGGATCTCAATCCAAAAGAGACCTTTGGGATGTGGTGGAACAGAAGATTCACATCATGGTTGTGCAGCCAACAAATCTGCATCAGCTGTGCAATGCGAGTATGGACCAGAATATCCCAGGAATGTTTCCAGTGAAAATCAGAGCCACGAAGAAATACGGCAGATCTGACAAGGTCTGATCAAGTCACTACATCTGCTGTTAACTCCAAACAGCAGTGGCCGCATCACGACGTGCACAGTGTGATCTCTTCCTGTATTCAGCACCTGTCAGTTAGAAACCACGAGGCCCGGCCCACTGTGGGTCCAGATGTCCATAACAGCGTAAAACCATCACATATGACTCTGTTTCAGATCGATCGCAGACATCAGCACCATGAATACATAAATACCAAAACATTGCAGCCACAGTGATCAATCACCCAGAGGTAAGAAACAAACGATGCAGTTTTCCTGTGCTGGTTGTTTGTTTTTAACTAAGAGGAAGAAATTGGAAAGTTTTCTCGCCACAGGGCGACTCAGCTCCACAGCAGCTGCTCAGAACTAATAAAAGCACCAAATTAACCCTGACGCCTGTAGAGTCACACACACACACACACATATAAAGGCACCGACGTGCTGCTGTGTTGTTTTCCTCCCACTGTGTGAGTGTGTGTGTAAAGTCTGGAATACGAGCTTCCATCACGAGTGAAATTATTCGATGTCGACTTAATGTTCCCTTCCTCCATCCGTGCTCTGTGTTTGCTGTGAGTGAACTGTTTGTCTAAAGCAAAGAGTCGAAGCTATTTGTGCGAGCGGGGGGAAATGACTGAATCATTTTCACGGCTCTCCCGCCGGCGGCGTCTGATGTCCCAAAAGTGGAAACAATGTTTACCTGGACGGGACGAGGGCTCTAAACTGGGCCGTTTACACACCGCTGTAGATTCAACAGCTTCCCCTGTTTGAAAGAGAAGAATCCTGTGTGTGGTTTCCCTCCTGAAGCAAACACTCGACAGCCCTGTGCAAATGCATGCTGTTTTATTTATCCTGTTATTGTATTATTTTGGGGCCGGGAGGAGGTCTGGCTGAGGAGGTGCAGGGGAGAGAGGGCGGGGGGTCGCCCAGCTGAAGCCTTCCATTTATTTCTGTTCTGAATGTTCATATTGTTTTATGGGTTTTACACTTGGCTGTCAGACGACGTTAGCGTGTCTCCTGCCGTGCCTAACATCTGTTCACGCTACACCGGGAGGACGCATGTTGGCTCCGGAGACATATAAAACACATCCACGGAGACGTGAGCAGACGTGAGACTGTGCTGCTGCCTCGTGTAAAACAAAATGTTACTGCAGTGTGAAAAAGACAGCTGTCGACATGTTTGCTATATGCAAGAGCACGAGAGTAGTGCAAAGTTTAATCGGAGGGTTGCCTCATGAATCACAGCCTGCTGAGGCAGAGCGGGCCTCAAACAAAGAAATCTCGAGTAAGTCAAAAGCAATACCAAAGAAATGCAGTTTACACGCGCCTAATTATTGTAGTCTGGATTTAATATGTGTGGATTACAAAACAAATAATCTTACTGGATTTATGACAAAGTTTTGAAAATGAACAGCTCGTTTATTATTATGTTAATTTGTCCAATTTGAGCCGCGGATAAATAAAATGACAGCTGTTCGTCAAGTGTTGATGCAGGATCTTTGTTCAACCCCTCGGATTAAAGCAGAGATTCTTCATTTGCATCTTAACTGACTCATTTCATCTGCTGCGGTTCTGTACAGAAGCGTGACAGCAACAGTTTCTAGGTCGAACTGTAACAGCAAGAGCTGTGTTTAAGTACTTATTCTTACTTTTGCACTGGAGGATACTCAGCGGCCACTTTGTTAGGTACACCTGCTCAACTCCTCATTAATGCAAATTTCTAATCAGCCAACCGCGTGGCAGCACGTTAGTGCATTTAGACATAGAGGCGTGGCCGAGACGACCTGCTGAAGTTCAAACTGAACATCAAAATCAGGAAAAAGGTTCTTTTAAAAGTCACTCTGAATGTGGCGTGGTCGTTGGTGCCAGACGGGCTGATCTAAGTATTTCATTCATCCCGCTTTGTATATGCTTGTGAGCATTGCCACAGTGTGTAATATACTATATTAAATATACTATACATGAAACTCTATAGCAAAACTTATAACTACAGCAGTATAGACAGTTTTAAAAGGGCTGTGGTACATATGTAGGCTGCGAGTGTGTTATTACTACAGGGATAGCTCAGTAGGTAGAGTGGTGGCCCCATGATCGGAAGGTCGGGGGTTCGATTCCCCTGAACAGCTACCCTGAGGTACCCCTGAGTAAGGAAACGTGTCCTTTCATCAGCTTTCATCTTAATGAAGGATGTTATCACGTTCAGTATCTGTGCTGCGAAAGAATAAGAACAATGAGCCAGCAGCTAATGCTCCTCTTAAACTGCTGCACGTGTTTGGAAAGACAAAATGTGCCCTTTGACCTCACCCCTTCACACCTGAATGTGACATCCTTGGCCAAACATTCAGGGCTACAGCCAGGTGGTTAAAAATAATAAATACAGATGTCAGCCTTGTTCTGATTGTTGGGCTTTTCTGTAGGGTCTTTACCTTCCAGTATAAAGTGCCTTGTAATTTGCTGCTATATAAATTCAATTTAATTAAAGTTCTGGACACATCTGATTAATTTGGCGTATACATATTAATATTTCTGCACATGAAATACTTCAAAGTAACTCAGCAGCAGAAACAGCAACATGTTGCTTAAACACTAATTGTTCTGTATAAGTAATCTAAAGGCGTTATATAAAATAACCCAGCATCAGAGCGTCAGACATTTTACCAATGATCGCACCAACTAATGACCCCTTTTTAAAAATTATAGATGACATACTGCAGGCTTAACTATTTTGCCTTCCAGGATTTCAATTTGTACAAAGAATTTGTAAACTGGCAGATAAATGCAGCAGAGTGTCGAATTAAAAAGGTTGTAGTGTCGTAATGCTACAAATTAGCATATAAATAAGAACAGGCTTAAATGGAAGAGCAGCACACCGGCTGCACGGTGGGGGATGAGCAGCCTCTCTTGTCTGAGGAGGCTGAGATCATTCAGTGATCTTTTTCTGCCACTCAGTTTGTGGTGATCACGGCATACTTTGCTGTGGTCTGCCGGGGCAGCTTCATCTGAGCTTTAGACACACACAAGCACCAATAAGCTGATGAAGGCCGACTCTGTGATGGGCTGCAAACTGCTCTTTTGCAGGTGTGGTGGAGACTCTTCAGTCATTTTGACCACCCCCTGCAACACTTACGGGACAGACAGCGGAGCACATTTCCTAACAGACTGAATTATCTCTACTGCCACAAGGACAACTCTTTCACACCTCTTATCTCTCTGTTATTTATCTCTATTTTGTTACATCACTTATATAATAACAACAAGTAAAATAAAACGCTAAAATTGATTGAATCTTTATTTTGAACATGTTGAAAAAGTACAACAAAATAGAATTAAAAGAGACAAATGAACAAAGCAAAACAAAAGGAAAACGAGCAACCACAACTCCAAATAAAGTTCATGTTCAAAAAGGAGAAGTAAAAATTAAATTATTACTTCGTGTTTAAATAATAATAATAATAATAATAATAATAATAATAATAATACCCTTAGTATCCCTTAAACATAAAGTACTATGTAAAATTGGTTAAACTACAGCGACACCGTGTGGCCAACACGGTCAGCGTCTCCATTAAAGTAACTTTATTCAGTCAACATTTAACACAGTTATTATTATTATTATTATTATTATTATTATTATTATTATTATTATTATTATTATTATTATTATCTGTCAGTCACGCGCGGTGATGTTACTCGTAGCCCTTTTGTTTCTGTTTTACAGCGTTCGTGACGTGGAGTGTGACGACACTCACAGTGGACGGGACACCGGAGGCGCTGCTCGCACCAGCTGCAGGTCAGAGGAGGAAAACATGGCTCGTCAAAGTAACACCTGCGCCGGTAATCTGGCGTTTCTGTTTGCGCTCGCGCTGATTGCAGCGCGTGTCCCGGCGGAGGCGTCCGAGGAGCAGGCGAAGACGGTGGAGTTCAACGTGAAACCGGGAGGAGTCGTGCACACCTTCTCCGAGGGCATTGTAAGTGCCTCCGCCGAGCGGTGTCTTTATTTCTCGCTGTAAATCTCCCGCTTTAAAACGAGCCCTCGTGCAGGGAAACACGGAGCTACCGATAAATCCTGAATCGTAAAATTTTATTTTACGTGGATTAAATTTGAATTCAAGTAAATTCACCGCGCAGCTCACTGTAGCCCACTCCAATGTGATTTATCAGTCAGTTATTAACACATTAATAGCTAAATTAATTATCATTGAGGAGCTGAGGTGTGCTTCTCTTATTACAGTCGGAAATAATCGATGTTATAAACAACAAAAGAGGAAAAACTACAATCTGCTGGGCAGCTTTAGTCGCTGTCTGATGACGACACAGCCTGTGAGGGGCTGACACGTCGCTGTCACAATGGCGCTTTTGATTGGTTGAGAGTTTCTTTTCTTTTAACTTAAAGACTGCTCACTTTAAATTGTAAAAACAACTTTTGTCTGATTGTTAAACTAACGATCGAGCTAATTATTTAATGAATTAATGTTTTTCTTGTTTGATTAATCAAAGAAAAGCTGACTTGTCATTGGTCACAGCAGGTAAAGCTCAGGTGTCCCTGATAGCTTCAGCGGTGACAAAGAGAACCATTACGTGTCTCTAATATTCTGACGTGGGAGGTGTTTGCAAAGTCGCAGTTTAAAAAAGTCAAAGTCATCTTACAAGCTGTTACATTAGATTATTACTTTAAATAGAAAAAGAAACTCGCTGACTCGTCCAGCTGTAGCTTGACTTATTATTTGTTATTTCCTCGTTTCGATGGCAGAGGTGTGACTCTGACTCACTTTCATGCTCTAAACCAGGAATGTCAGACTCCCTCTGCGTCGTTGGCCACAGACAGCCCACTTTAATCTCAAGTGTCCAGAGTCCAGAGCAGTGGAATTCCCCTTCTCTGTCAGTGGACCGAAGATTAGCTGCACATTTATTCCCACGGATATCTGAATATGAGAAAAAAAGTGCAAATACAACCTTACCTCTCATTTCTTTCTACGTAATAGACAAATGCTGCTGTAGTAAATGAGAGGAATCTGTCAGCGAGATTTAAGAAATAAAGGTGTAAACTAATTCTGTACTACAAAGTGAAAAAACTGGAATTTTTCTTTCATTTCATTTTTTCAATCTGTTACTTAATTACTTTAGTCCAGAGGAAGGCCTTCATCAGTAGGAAATGTTGCAGTTAGATGTCCAACATTATTGCCCTCATTCACATTTTCTAAAGCTTCATGCACATCTTATCTCCACATCAGGAAGCCCTGTTTAGCTCATTTAGGTCATTTCAGGACCAATTAAATATATTTAAAACTACTTTCAGGTTGGCTCAGTACACATTGGATTTACCAGATTCCTGAGCCAACCCCAAACAGTTTGTGATTCCTCCTGGTATCAAACCAAGGGCCTTTTTACACGTTAGGTGAATATGTTAACCACTACGTTACGGAGCCATTCAGTCTACGTGATGCTGAAAAGCTTAATATGAATGAACTATTCAAGCTGAAACTGGTGAAAGCTGTTACTAATGTGGCAGAAAATAACCACAGGCGTGTCTGTCGTGCTACGCTGAAATCTGAATAGAGAGAAATTGTTTTTTTAGCAGTACCCAGGCTAATTCTAAACATCTGTACCAGGTCACGTAGACCAGACTTTAAACGGCGTTCTTTTAAATGATGATCAACAAGCAAAAGAAACATCCAAAACCAAAAAGACCAGCGGTAATTTCTTATGGCTTTTTTAATCTGGCTCAACTCTTTCCCCCATAAACAACATCTGACACGCTCTAGCATTAAGAAAGGTTTTGAGACCTCAGTACAAAATACAGAAATCGTTTCTGGGCTTTTCTTAGGGGAGCTGTCTGGCAGAGACCACCCTCGCTAACCTCCGATGCACAGACAGAACAGAGCTTCTTGGGTTCCTCCTAAAGAGTAACGTGTTAGTGTTCAGGGTATTATTGGAAAGGATGTGAGTTTGCATGCAACCATATTCTGTCTTTATTTCTATGGAAGGTTAAACTGAAACCTGAGTGAGATCAGTGGAACAGAGTTTCTCGTTTTACAGGAAAGTTTTGTAGGTAAATCCAAAACACGGCACTAACACCTGGTTTCATTCTCCTTCTGCAGGGGGAGCATGAATGCTCTTTCACGTACGCCTCTCAAGGAGGAACCAACGAGGTGAGCGCCTCCCCCTCTCTCACTGTGCGTCTCCAGCCTCACATCACTGATTACTGCGGTCTTTATGCTAAAATATTGTCCCTTTTTTCTGTAACGCAGCAATGGCTGATGAGTGTGGGCCTGACTGATGACAACAGACTGTTCTCCTGCTCTGTGTGGAGGTGAGACACAGATTTTAGAGGACGCTGCACTGACTTGCATTGGCTTAATGGAGGCTGAACAACTACTGCTTACCTCACCTTAACTTTAAAGCCTGCCTTCACCCTAAAATGTCCCCATAAGGAAGTCGGGCCCCCGTGTTGTGATTGTGTAACCAGATTTAGGTCCCCGTAACTGCAGTTATACCAGGACAACACTCACAGGCCAATGAGCAGCCCGCGGAGGTACTCTTCTTCTTCAGTTCGGTGACCCCGATGCTAAGAGCACCCTCACCGCTAATGTGTGCGTCTGCTGAGTCACCTCATTGATTTTGCTTAATCGTGACAGTGGCGGTAGAGACTAGAAGGGGAAACAACACAGCAAACTTCTAACCTCTGATTGAAATGAATTTATGCAAACGCGTGACACTGACAGCAAATATTTCCTTTTCATTCCCGCCAGGCCTCAGGGGAAGTCGTACCTGTTTTTCACTCAGTTCAAAGCTGAACTGAAGGGAACCAAAATCGAGTATGTCAACGCGTATGTAAGTACAAAGAAACTGTTAGCTGAGCTTTTAGTGGGCCTGTGTTCATTCATTTGTTTTTGAGTTGTCAAATTATCCCAGTGCTCAACATGGACAAAGCTGAAAAACTGTGATTGCTGGGTTTTGTTTCTTTGTGCTGCTGAGTTTGTTATTTATTACTGTCAGTGGGCTGATCCCATTTCCAGAGGAGGGCTGTGCTTCAGTGATGCTTTTAAAACCAGGATCATACTTGCTGTGGACACTGCCGATAAATATTCATTCCACATGATTCTTTAAAAAGCTGGCTGGAGTTCGCCTGCAGGTGTGTGGTTGGTTCACTGTTTTTCGGGCTGGTCCTTGAAGATGCAAACTATTGAAGGATGTCCACAAGGAGTCTCGCGTCCATCCTCTCATGGCCCAAAGCAGAACAACACTTTGTTAGCTGATTCCAGAACAGCGCTCCACTGACTTTCTGTCAGAATTACTACTAATAAATAACCTCTTTCACTAATCTAGCCCAGCCTGCATAGATGGTAACTAATGGTTACAGCCTAACAGCATATTAGAGGGCTATCCTCACTGATGGACATGCCCAAAACACTTCACCTAGGAGGCGTCCTAATCAAATGGCCGAGCCACCTCAGCTGGCTCCTTACGATGTCAGCTTGATTCTGAGCTCCTCGCAAATGACCAAGCTCCTCATCCCCTCTCCGAGCCGGAGCCCAGGCACCATCCGCAGTAATGCAGACGCTGCACCAAATCTCCTGCCAATCATGAATTTGCACCGAGAGTTTCTGCCGTCATGTTCGCTGTGTTTCTGTCTAAAGCGCCAGAGGTTTCTCAGACACGTGAATATCTCCAGTCAGGGATTCATTTTCCTGACATCACATGAAAGCACTGTAAGCTCATTCAGCTTGGATTCATCTGGTTTCTTTTTCAAATTCAAGATGAGTCACGCTTAAAGCCAGCGGTTCAGTGCAGGTCTTTCTTCCTTGCACTGAAGTTTGCCTGTTGGTAGTCAAACTGCACCACAACCTGTGCAGCGTAGTTGCGATACTGTCGGTGCAACACATCATAACGCCTCACAGTTCTGCGGTTGGTTTGACAGGACAAACAAAAACTTTCTGCTTTGCATTGCCTCGCTGTTCCAGGCGCCCCTTCGGTGCAGAGATTAAAGCTTCATCAGCACAGTTGTCAGGAAAAACAAGGCGAAACTCTGTTGATGAGCATTTCTGCATAGCCTGCAAATAATAAAACATCCACCTTTATACCAGCAACACATTCATCAGCCTCTGGGACCAAATCTGAGGCAGACGTTTGTGTGCAGCAGCTTCTTATATGCTTTTTCTCCAGCACGTAGGGGCTGTAAGATCGTCACAGCTGTCGCCATATGCACTTTTATCTAGTCTCGTGCGACAAATAGAGAAAAAATCTCAGAGCTGTATTTAATTAAACAGTTTGATAATGACGCTTGCGCCTCGTTCCTGGATATGTAAATGTCAGTGCGTGCCACGTCTCCGCACGAACGAGGATTATTGTAAGTCTGACATTTAATGATTTGTGAACAGGATGAGCTGCCTTCAGACTTTTGTCTAATCGGACTCAAAGAGAAAGAAGCAGCAGCTTACCATTTTAATATTCATTTAGTTCATAATATCTGAAAAGTATTTTAAAAACTTCCATCTCGCAGCCCAAGAGTACGTCTTCAAGTTCTCGGTGTGATCGAATGGCTGTCCGAAGCATTTCACGGTTAATTTTTCAGTGATTATAAAATACAGCAAAGCTGCCAGTTCTCACATTTGAAAAGCTGGAAGCAGATAATGTTTTGCAGTGTTCTGTGATTTATCACCTATCAAATATGTTTGATTAACTGCTCAACTTTAAATGTTGGCACACGAGCCTTCTGCAAAAAGGGGCGGCACTGGGTCCCTCTACTTAGAAATCAATGAAAAGCGAATGCATAATATGTTGCTTTACTACAACGATGGCGCCCGTTACATAAGGCGTGCCCCCAGACACAAAGTCGATAAAGTTGCAGCTGCGGGATTTTGTAGCTCGAGGATTTGTCACCCGAGTAGCAGAGTGTACCCGACCATAAGCTAGACACGGGTGGGTTGGACATATCATCTTCCCTCCACTTGTATACAACAAACCCATAATGTGCCCTTGACAAACTAACACAAGTCGAGTGAGTCAAAGTAGCACAAAAACTTTATTTCTTCTTGACGTCACACTCGGAATCGAGTCTGTGCACTTTAATGTCTCGTGGAAGGTTAATGTCCGCGCCCGGTCTGAGCTCAGCCACTTTGCGCGGTCTGCCTGTCTGATGTGGTCGTCTGTGAAGTGGAGCGCACCTCGACACGCCTCCTTCCCACAGCAAGGACAGTCCTGACACTTTCTGTCATTAGTGCGAGCGCATGTTTCCTCCTCCCGCTCAGCTCCGTGCCCTGCAAGCCAAAGACGAACACACAAGGAAAAAAACACAACTTCCCTGAATGATGAGACCGAAATAACTTTGCACGCACAAACAAACACACCTGCCACCCCCGCGCAGCATTTCCTTGACCTTGCCGTCACGTCCTCCTACTGTCCCGGCCCGTCTGTTCCAAACAAAATTGTTGTCATCTGTGCCGCCTCTCATCCTGTTTCCCTCTCTGTTTCATTGTTTCTTTTTGTCTCTCTTCCCCTGCTCTCCTCCTCCTCGTCTTCATCGTGGCTGCTGCTTGCGTTTCCAGTCTCAGTCGGCAGCAGGAGGACAGAGTGACGTGCCTTTGAAGCCAGAAGAATTCACCATCGGAGAATCAACAGGTGAGAAATTTATTGTGTTTCCGAGTGTTCAATCAACTCCCTCTGCTTGTCACATCAATCCCTTGCTCTTTCTCTCCGTCTGCCTCCCTCCCTCTCCATCACGCTGCAAGTACCCTGCTGATTTCCCTCTAAAGCATATGCTGCAGCTGTGAGTGGGTTGTCATTTGTCCCTGTAGCATTATTTCTTGTTATTCCGTTTCCGTGCAAACCGAGGCTCCAGACTGTGATTAGCAGGATTTGACGAGTCGAGCCGACCAGCAATTTCCTGTGTCTTTTTCAGCATATTAAACGCTACAGGTACAGATGCTGGAAACACTTGCAGTCTGGGTTTGTTTTGATAGACTGCTTAACAGTGGAGAGCGTATTAATTACAAACCTACGAGTAGCCTTTAGCATCTATAGGAAAGGAGAGCAACCGAGCTCAGACGTGCAGATAAAGACATGCTGACATGTCCTTATGTTTGTGCCACATGGAGGCAGTGAGTGTTACAGCTGGTGATTTATTATAAGTGCTGTTTTATTTTAGGCTGGGACGTGTTTTAAGGTTATGGTTAGGCTCTTAATTTGTAAGGCTTTAGTTAAATCGCTTGAAGTCCACTTATTGCACATTTTCCTTTACATTTGTTTATAAGCTAACAGCTACAACATGCATCAACTGTTCAGCTCCAAAAATGTATTTTAATGTACGACTCCATCAAAGTACAAAATAACTGATCATGTTTAAGCTTTTAGAGTAAAAGTGGGCAATTAATTTTCCCAAGGGGCCACATGATACACTGGGGCTGTTGTGTAGGGCCGCACCAATAAGCTGTGGCCCCTTGGGAAAATGAATTGCCCACCCCTGCTTTATGGGAACTGCTTGCCTGGAATAAAAATATGTTTAGTTCCTGTATAAATATCTTCCCCAGTGTAATAAAGGTTAAATTATCATTTGCATTCTTTGTAAGCTAAGCTCGCCACGCTGCGGTTTCTAGCTCTGCGTATAATAAACAGACACGAGATTCGTGTGTTTTTTTTCTTTCCACTCTTCGAAAAAGCAAATAAGCATTTTTTTAGTGCATGTCTGAAAAATGCTGAAATATAGACTTTTTCAAATACATAAAAGATAAAGATGCTGTTTGTGTGCGAGGTCTTTAACAGGATCAGCAACGTTGCTGTTGGGCTCACTGCCTGCAGGTAGCAGGCATGTCTCATTTACACCAGCTCACCTGCAGGTGGAGCTCATCAAACCTACAGACGTGATGTCCTGTTATTCTCCTTGTGCTTTGTTTGCAGCTGAATGATTGTTTTTGCTCTGTCGTCATCTGTGGCAGCATTTCATGCATTTCCTCTCTTTTTTAACCTCAAGTGACCCACAGGGATGGAAAGTTCAGCGCTCAACTCTCCAAACTGACCGTGATTGGACGGACACGAAAAGACGAGCTGTAGCTGGTCAGAAGTGAAGCGCTTTGACCAATCAGAGCATCCCGACGAGCTCCGACTCGAGCCTCTGCTTTTCCCTCAGTGATCGATGAAGGATGGATTTCTTCCTGAGTTACAACTAAAAATTGAAGAAGGATAAACTGGATACTGCCCTGACAGCACTTTGTGTCGCTACAAAAGTTACCTGATACTTTGTTGCTATAGTGGATCGGAGCTACACGGGGCAAAAGGGATCAGCTGAGTAAACAACAACAACAACAACAAAATGCTTGCTCTGAGATGAAGTGCTTCCATAGTTGTTATTTTTCTTATGCTACAAGATTTACAAAGAATTGTGTCCTGATACACTGGGGATGTCTGTGATTGTATAGAGGATGTCTGGGGGCTTTGTGGAGTATAGATAACATATTTAGACTAGGGAAGGATTTATCCATCTTATGTAATCCCGAGAGAAAAGTGAGTATTCCCCAATATCGTCACTGCGCGCACATAAACAATTTCCCCCGTCTGGCTCTGCTCTGAGCTGCTGTTGAGCGAACTGCCTCATTCTGTCTTCATCTCTCTCCGTTTATCCGTTCCAGATGATTGTAAGCACCACATTTGATCCCCAGCAACCACCAATCACTTCTTCTTGTGATAAATCTTTGTTTTGTGTTTTTGCCTGAAGCCATAATGCAGCAGATAGCAGCTTTTAAACATGTTAAGAGGACACGTGTATTCCCACTTATGTCTTCAAATCTTCATCATTCTGCAGCAGAAGATGCAAATCTTTCTCAAACAAATTCCCATTAAAAATGGATCTAATTTGAGTTTATTGCAACAAGTTTTCAGTTACATTGTTAACCACAGAATACTAAAATGTAGGGCATGCACAGACGTTTGGATGATAACACGCGAGGCAAAAGAGATGCCAGCAGGTATCTCTGAGTCCTCCTTGAACCCTTTACTTTCATCTTTCGGTGCCACATGTGTGGATCAGCGAGGATAATGTGCAGGTTTCACATGGACTTCATTATTT